TGGAGGGGAATGATAGGGGATAAGGCTAGAAAGGTAGGTGGGCTCTAGAATGCTGGGGACCTTGACCACTAGACAGAGGATCTTGGACTTTAATTTACTCCGTAGGCAGTTGAGAACCACTGAATATTTTTGAGCAAAAGAGTGACATGACCAGGTTTATGCAGGGAGAAGACTAATCTGGCAGTGGTAGAAAAGATGAATTGGTCGGGGTGGGAAGCAGAATAAAAATAGTAGTTCCTAGTAGGAGGTTGTTAACAATAGTCTTTGTGGTAATGATGGCCTATGATGGGGTGGTAACAACATGAATGCAAAGGAAGGGATGTGTGGAGATAATATTTGGGAGTAGATTTCAGAGGTGAGAGTGAGGTGGGCTCAAAGGTAAGCTTAAGGTTTTCATTGTGGGAGAATGGGTGAATGGTGCTTCTGCTGATGAGAAATCCTGATGTCGGATATAGATTAGAGGAGAAGGCTTAATTCAGTTAAACAATCCATGTTTTCTAAGCATCTGTAATGTACTAAGTGCTGTGCAGAGATGACAAAGGCAGAACAGAAGAAGTCCAGGGAATCCTTCAGGGAGCTAAGTTTTTATATTTAACAAAGAGTGAACCCAGTGGGAACTATTGCTCTCTACCCCTTTTGGTGACTGTGAACATGTGCACTGCTGTAGAGTATTATTGACAAATCATGTCTGATCCTTTATTATACTTTCTCTTCATCAGTATGAAGATTCTTGAAAAAAAAACTTTTTTTGTTTAAATGGGAAATCACTTGGCCCAAAGTAGGCACTTAGTAAATGCATGTTGACTGACTGAAAGTAGGCATATGGCTTGGTAGTTATTGATACTCTTGGGATATCTTTTTTAATATTAAGAAAGTCCAGTATTTTTCTATACCTTTTGTATCTTTCCCTTTCAAAGATACCCTATTACGGCATCTCTCCAAGTGTGGTCCAGGGACCCTTAGAGACTCCAGGGACCTTTTCAGAGGGCCTGTGAGGTCAAAACCATTTTTATAGTAATATGAAGATATTTTAATTTCTAATACAATAAATATTGTTAGATATAACCCATGTAAATGAAAAACGTTTTGGGGGCTTCAGTAATTTTTAGTAATCTAAAAGGGTTCTGTGACCAAAATGTTTGAGAACTGCTGCCTTATTACTTACTATATGTAAAGATCATTTTAAATTACGGCCATTGTTACAGGTCCAATAAACCCTTACTTATATTGTGAAGTCCATTAGGGCAAGGACCCATCTTATTTGACCTTTGTATTCATTCAAGTGCTTGGCATAGGGCTCAACACCTTAGTAGGTTTTCAATGACTGTTTTTTTTTTCAAATTGAAGTAGTATATAGTCAGTCAACAAACATTTGTTAAGCTAAGCTCTTGGGATACAGAAAGGCAAAAAAGTTCCTGCCTGAAAGGAGTTCACATTCTAATGCAGGAGACAAGCTATCTTGTATGTGACTAGTTATTTATGTGTTATTTATATATATTTGTTCACTCTTTTCACTGGAGTCTGACTCTTTGTGACCCCATTTGTGGTTTTCTTGGGAAAGATAACTGTAGTGGTTTGCCATTTCCTTCTCCATCTAGCTCATTTGACAGATGAGGAAACTGAGGCAAACAGGGTTAGGTCACTTACCCAGGATCACACAGCCAGTAAGTGTCTGAGGTCGGATTTGAACTCAAGAAGATGAGTCTTCCCTATTCCAGGCCCAGCACTCTATCCACTGTGCCTCCCAGCTGCCCTATTTACACATATATATAAGACATGTCTTGTATGTATCTAGTTATTTACATGTTACATACCCATGTGTCCCATGTTTTATATATATATGGTATCTTGTGTGTAGCTAGTTACTTGCATGTTATATATAGATGTTATACATAACATGTTACATATATAAGATATCTTGTATGTACTTGGTTATTTACATGTTATATATATTCCATGTTTATGTATGTAAACAAGATATCTTGTATGTACCTAGTTATTTACATTTTTTATATATATACATATATAGTATGTTACTTTATAGAAGATATCTTACAGGAACTTAGTTATTTACTATGTGTCTGTTTTACACACATACACACTAAATATAATATAATATAATGTGATATGATATAATATAATGAAAGGCCTCCTGAAGAAGATGAACTTTGAGTTGAGTCTTGAACAAAGCCAGGGACACTAAGAGGTGAGGGGTGAGAAGAGGGGGTACTCCTGGCACAGGGGCAACCAGTGTAAAAAACAGAGATTGGAGATGAAATGTTGTGTTCAAGGAACTCCAAATAGGCCAGAGTAGCTGGATCACAGAGGAAAGTATTATCTCATGTGTAATTTACTCTTGTTTATCCATGATAATTCCAAAACTCCTTTTAGCCAGCAGCCTTATTCTCTTCCTTCAATAAATACTGTTATACCAGAATTGTGAAATAATTTTGAGGTCTGCCTAACTTTCTCTGCCTTGTATCCCCTCTGGTGGAGAGTAACATGTAGTGCATGACTGAGAGGCTGATCTGTTGGTGGGGCTCTGGGTGTGTGGGGACATGGGGTGATGAATTGGTTATAAATTGGATAATACGCCCCTGGATAATCAATAGGTGATTCCAGTGAATTGTGATCCCACTTGGAGTGATGGAAGTAAACAGAGCTTTCCTCAGAAAGGAAATCTTGTTTTTAATTTACAAGAAAACAATTTGGCTCTGTAGATTGTAGACTCCTGAGGGGAGGGGATAGATGTTCTATTTTTGTTTTTGAATCTGCTTAGCCTCGAGGTTGTTGGATGGGATTTGACAATACCCTGTAGAAATAAATATGGTCATATTTGACCCTGTTGTAATGGTGATTTGTAGAAAAGAACAAGATTTTCAATCACCCCCAATGAATCATAACATTTTAGAAGTGGGAGGCCCTCAGAGATCTTCTCGTCCATTTTGCAGATGAGAAAATTTAGGTCAAGAGAAGCAAGTGAGTTGCTCATGGTCCTACAAGGTTACATGGCTAGTTGGTGGCTGAGTTAGGGCTGAAATCTGGATCTCTTGATTTCTAAGCTAGTGCTCATTTTAATTATATTTCTTTATTTTATCTACACACACTGTCTGTGAAAACGTATTCTTGTGACGTGCACAAGCACTGATCAGCATTGGAGATGTTCTTCCACTCAGTGTCATAGTCTGCTTTCTGTAGTTTTTCTGTCTCCCTCCCTCTTCCCCTCTCCTTCCCCCTGCCACTGCCCCTTTCCTTTTCTCTTCCTCCCTTTCTCTTCCCTTCTCACTTTCCTTATCCTTTCCTATTCTCCTCTCCCTCCCCCTTCCCTTCTTCCTCTTCCTGCAGGGATTGAACTACATTGGTGTTACTCCACTCTAACCATACTTGAGACCAATAAAAAATATTTATACTTTCTACCTTTGATTGCTGTGTCCTCCACAACATTAGTGGGTCTCTTGGGGCCTCAGAGGGCCTGGGAACCGGATGAAGCAAAGTGAGATAGGGGTAGGAGCAGAGAGAAGACGCTGCTATTTACTGTCTGCTCTTCCTGGCTTGGAACTGGACAAGTCTCTTCTCTTGGTTGCAAAACTTTCTTCTCCCTTTTACATCTTAGTGGCAGTAGAGAAAAAAAAGAGGGAAGGTGGAGAAATTCTAAGGCTTGGGTTAATGAATCTGGAGCCCCAACTGCATTAGACTTTTTTTGGATGCTAATTTAAACATTCAGGGCGCCTTTGTTCCTCTTGGCAAAGAATAATCGTAGGCAGTTAGGTGCTATCATGCAGAAGTGTCTAACATCTGCGGCCTGCAACACTTTAGAATACAATGAACCAGATTAAAATGCAATTGGAAAATATTGAGCAAAAGAAATGAAAATACAGTAAACATAGATAACATTACATTTTATTTTATTTTAGTTTTTAGGCAATTAGGGTTAAGTGACTTGCCCAGGGTCACACAGCTAGTAAGTGTCAAGTGTCCAAGGCCGCATTTGAACTCAGGTCCTCCTGACTTTAGGGCTGGTGCTCTATCCACTGCGCCACCCAGCTGTCCCCAACATTACATTTTAAAACTAAATCAACATGTGGCCTGCAGGGATCCTTAGGTACTGAATAGTGGCCTTGTTTATACCTGAGTTGGATACTCAAGTATAGTAGGTATAGTAGGGTACTGGCTTTGGAATCAGGAAGACATGCATTCAAATCCTGCTTCATGTGGTAACTAGTTGTCTTAAACCTATGCCTCAGTTTCTTCATCTGTAAATTGAGGATAATAATAGCATCTACCCTCTTGGGTTGTGAAGATCAAATGAGATAATGTATGTACAGCTTTTTGCAGACCTTGAAGTGCTATATAAATACTAGTTGTTATGTATTATTCTAATTATTGTTAGGATGAGAATGATGATACGCCATGAGCTAAAAAACAAAAAAGTTTGAGAACCATTGATATAAGATGTGGGACTTCCTCTCTTGATGGCAAGATTAGGCTGTTGGGCTTCTACTGAAGATGGTAGAAGATGGGAGGGGAAAGATGTTCTCTTAAGATTTCAAGAGTAGTTTGTCACATTTTGGTTGCTACCAGGCCGTGTACATCAGAGGACTAAGAACATTTATTACCTCTCTCCCCTATTTATAAGGGCTGACGCTGACCTCTGTCCTCCTTACAATGCTGAAGTCATAGTTAGAGTTCTAATGTCTTATGATGATAGGGCTGTGGTGCTAATCAGCTGAAGGTGTGGATTTTCCATCTTCCTGTCCTTGCATGCATGTTGCCCACGTGCTAGCCGTGAACAGGCCGCCATTTGTGGCTTACCATTTGGTATTTTTCTATAGCTTCTTTGGTGTAGCACTTTGGGTTTATCCAGAATCTGTCGTCATAACGCCAATGTTATTTTGCATATGTGTAGATGGGGAATTAATTTAATTGTGACACCAGGGTATCTATCTCTGGTAATGGGTATCCACATTAACTTCTGTGCTGGTGTTCTGCTTTTGTTCCAGTGGAGGCGATAGTGGAGTTTGACTATAAAGCTCAGCATGATGACGAGCTGACAATCAGCGTGGGTGATATCATCACCAATATCAAAAAGGAAGATGGAGGCTGGTGGGAAGGACAGGTCAAAGGCAGAAGAGGTTTGTTCCCTGACAACTTTGTAAGAGTGAGTACAAAGTGAAACTGTTTTTGTGTTTTCTGTGTATAATTTGCTTAAAACTGATTGTGACTGTGTTTGTTGCTTACAGAACACAATTGTCTAATTTGAAGATTAATCTCATACTCTGTTTTTAGAATGCATTGATGGTTAAACAAGCATTCATTATTTATTTATTTATTTATTTTTTGCTTTTTGTTGAGGCCATTGGGGTTAAGTGACTTGCTCAGTCACATAGCTGGTAAGTGTCATGTGTCTGAGGCTGGATTTGCACTCAGGTCCTCCTGGCTCCAGGGCCAGTGCTCTATCCACTATGCCCCCTACCTGCCCCGGTATTATTTCTTTTCTTTTTTTTTTTTTAAGGCAATTGGGGTTAAGTGACTTGTCCAAGGTCAACACAGCTAGTAAGTGTCAAGTGTTTGGTCTGAGACTAGATTTGAACTCAGGTCCTCCTGACTTCAGGGCCGGTGCTCTATCCACTGCACCACCTAGCTGCCCCTCCCTGCTCCCCTTCTGGTATTATTTCTGATAGCCAGAGTACACACTTGTGCTCATGATTTCTGTTCCTACCTGTTTTATAGTTAGGATGATTTTTTTCCCAAAACTGTCATTTAACTAAGTAGAATTTTCATTTTTCTTAGATATCATTAAGTGTAATGTATTCATCACCATGTAGTATCATTTCTATGTTTGAGTACATAGAACTTATTCCTACTTTCTGTAATATACAATGACAACATTTTTATTTATGTTTTTGAAATACTCATGAGGCCAAACCATATTTTAAAGATATGTTTAAATTCATGTTAGTTCTGTAATCCCCCTTGTATGTATCATTTCTTAGCTAATGTCAGAAAAATATAAAACGTATCAGAACGTATTTTTGCCTTATGATAGTTTCAAGAATTTTACCTTTTAGGCATGTGGTTTCTCCCCTACATTTAAAATACTGTTAAAATGTATCTTCACCAGCCCCCTGTAAGGTGATTTAAAAATAAAAACATTTACATTTATGTTCTTTCTTTCCACTATGTTCATATAATTTTTGGTCTGAGCTATTTCAGATATTCCATTTTCATTTACCATTTCTCCCCCTTCCACACATACACCTTACCTGTGAATAGAACAAAGTAATATTTAGGCTTAAAGGTTAGGTTTTTTTTTTAATTTTTAAAGAAGTAATTGTTCAGTTTATAAAAATTGTACGTTTTGCAGAATTTTCTCCTTGGGAATAAATACAGAAAAAAATAGCACATTAATTGAGTTCAATATTGCTGTTTAGTTACTAACAGTTAACTTGGTGATTTACATATTCTCTTCCCTATTGGAATGCGAGGTCCTTGAGGGCTTGGGCCTCATTTTTTTTTGGTATCCATATCACTTAGCACAGTGCCTGGCTGTAGGAAGCATTTAACAAATTCTTGTGTCTGACTAACTCAAATTCGGGTCTTTGTGTTCCTCCCTCTTCACATCCCGTCACTTGTCAGGTCCTGGGCAATTCTCCTTCAGCTATGTTTCTTGCACCCGTTCTTTCTATTTGTTCTTCTACCACTTGTGTGGTGACTTCTTTAGTTCAAACCCTTGCCTGTTCTCTGCTAGAATACCGCTAGCCTGGTCATCTTATTTTTTATTTGTCCACCTTTTTTGATCTGTCTGTCACACTGATGCCTGAGTAATATTCCTAATGCATAGTTCTGCTCAGTATCACTCTTCTTCTCAAATAAAACCCAATTGGTTCTCCATTGCCTTCTTCCTTTCAAATCTACTTTATATGTTCATATTTATCCTAATTTAATCTCTCTGAAAATTAAAAGGATAGTAGATATGTTTTGTGTTGTGGCTTTCATTCCCTTAAAGATGTCCCTGAAAAAATAAATGAACACAATTTCATTTTTCTCTTACCTTCCCTTCTCTCCCTTAAATGCTCAGTATGCCCTAATGCCTCAGGGTCGTCATAGTAAAATTTTATCACTTTGCTATAGTGGTGCAGAATTCCACCAGGACTTCTGGTTGACAGTATGCCAGATAGAGTTTGTTGTAAAGAGTGAAATAAAAATAGAAACTTAACCCTAAAAAATTGTTGATCTGACTAGCTTTTCTACTCTTGGATAGACAATATGGTCTATTGTCTGTTACACCCACATGATACTGTTTTCCATCTCCTAGCTTTGGCTGACCCTCATGCTATCATATTTTTTTTCTCTCTACCTCCATCTCTCAGAATCACTGATTTACTTCAAAACTCTACTCAGGTACCACCTTCTACATGAAGCCTTCCCTGATCCTCCCTGTGGCTAGTGCACACCCTTCCCAAACTACCTCATATTCATTTTGAAATGTGTTGTGGATGTGCTTAGGTATGTGTTGTTGTCTCCTCTGTTAGAATGTAAGCTCCTCGAAAGCAGAAATCATTTGATTTTTTGTCTTTGCATCTCCAGGACTTAGCATAATGCCTTGTTCAAGGTGGACAATTAATAAGTGCTCACTGATTGAGAGTTGCTCTTCAGGATTATAGGATTATTGATTTAGAATTAGGAAGGGCCTTTGAGGCCATCTGATCCATCTTCCTCATTTTACAGATGAGGAAACTGAGACAAGTAATTTGCCTAAAGTTACACGGACAGTGAATGTGGGAGCCAGACTTTGACTCCATATCCAGCATTCTTTCAACTCCATTATTCCTTCCTCTTACAGATGTAAACATGCAACAGAAACATAACCATTTATCAGCATCAGCTGTGTCCTATTTTTATACATGTATGAATTCTTTCTTCCGTACTCCATAGAGCAGCATAAAGTAAGGGGAAACTTTGCTTTTGAATGAATGGCATGGGCGTGAACATGGCATATCCCAAATACTGGACAGCATGGAGGGTACCTGTCCTTTTCTGTGTATTGCTGTGAATATCTTTTTCAGACATGGAAAATACTTGAATGTGGGCAGTTCTGCCCTGGTAGTCAGCACACCTCACCAGCACTGCAGGAAACATGGCAGTGACTTGTGGCTATAACACAAAGAAGGAGTGAATCTTGGTAGACGTGAGAGAACCTAGAAATAGCTTGCCTTCCCTGTCCTTGGTTATTTTTCTTTACTGAACAAAACCTCTATAAATTCCCTGACTCAGAGAATTATTAGATCATTTAGTCAACCATTTAAACATACATAGATACACACATACATATTCCCTTGAATACGCAACAAAGCCTTAAGTTGGACTGAAGTACATGACCTGTAAGGGGTCTATACTTTTACATTTTAAAATAAGGAAATGTGGGAGGTAGGGTGGCAGAAACCAGAATGATTTTTTTCTTTTCACTGTACTTGAAGATACAGGAGGAGCTGGAACCTTTTCTATTTTTCATCTCACAAATGGAGATGTAGAAGGCAGGAAGCTGTGGTGAGGGTAGAAAAGAATATGTTTGTGGACTTTTTTCGGTTATACTTGACTGTGTGTGAAAGAGTAGTAACTCTCTGCCTGCTTATCGACACACATGAACACAAATGCATTTTGATTAAGAATTAATGTAGGTTTTTAAAGCCAGTCTATATTTTGATAAATAAAAACACAACTGAAATTTAATATTGCCATTCTTGAAGATCACATTTGCTTGCTTGATTTTATTGCTGCTGCTTTTTTTGGGAGGGTGGGGTAAGTTGGGCAGCTCATTTGCGTATCTTGGTGCCACATTCAAAGAAGGAAAGTCTGAGTCTGAGCTTGAGCTTGGTGGAGTACAGTTCAGTGGAGAAGACGTTCACCATTTTGCATATCTCTGAGACTACTTATGGTAAGAACTCTCCCTGTGTGATGAGCTTTGCATGCTGAAATTCTGTGCTTTAATGCTAGGATAGGGTAGGTTTTCTAATGGATGCAGCATGAAATCTAGTTAATTAGATTGCTGTTCTCTCAGAATTGCCTTCTTGCTGCCTTTTTTAATTACGACTTACTTTTGTCCTGAAAAATTTTTATCCTGTGGAGGCAGTAATTCTGTGAATTGACTCTTTAGGAAATGTGTATTTTCAAACAGGTAAAAGGAATTTTTAAAAAATACATAACTATTTTAAAATGGGTTCAAGGTGGTTTTTGTCCACAAAATTTTGCCTTGGGTTTAATGTATACTTATAAATGTGTAGCTACCTATGGCACTCTTGCAGATATCAACTTCCTCAAAGCTTCTGTATTAGGTTTCTTTAGGCACTAAATAATTTTGTAGTATTCATTTTTTTCAATATGTATAAGAAATATATTTTATTTTTAAAAAAAGTTCATATTGGAATAAAATTCTTTGGGAAGTCAATATTTTACTTCAGGTAGACTATACTAGTAATAGAAAAACAAATAATTACAGAGGCCAGCGAATTAATCTGTGTTTAGTTTTAGTTTGGGGCAATGATTTCTGCCTACTGTATATTCCTATGTGTCAGAAATACATGTGTGGTATTTATCTGATTTTGTTTAAATGTGAATAAGCCTATGGTTGTTCTTGAATGTCTGCTTCCGTTTTTCCCTTTTAATGTATCTTAGATGTAGGAGATCTTTGTGTACAAAACCCATCCCCACCTTTTGCTAGATATGTGACTTTTTTTGTGTGTGTGGGAACAATTGGTATCCCTATCCCACCTAGGCTCGGAAAGGCAGTTACTACTCATGGGCCCATTACCACAACTGATCTACTCAGTAACTTTATTTAACCTGCACTGTTTCTGACCTGGTATGGTTCGCCCCTCCTTAGGGAGCTCAACCCTAATGGTGTTAGATTTAGTATGGACACTCATTGGTTTAGCTTAGAACTCCCAGGCTTGTGACCCACCAGTCTGCCTCCCTGGTAGTAGGATTATAGGTGTGTGCAAACATTCTCAGCCTAGGTATGTGACTTTAGACAAGTCCCTTAATTTTCATGAATCTTGGTTTCCTCATATGTAAAGTAATAATATTTGTGCTAGCTACCTCATAGGATTCTTGCAAAGGTCAAATGAAATAATGCACGTAGAACACTATGTGATAATGTAA